ATCCCTTAGCTGAAAGATCAAGTGTAGGTGAATACTGAAGATGTTTATAGCTGAAGGGGCACTCCAGAGGGTGGATTGTGGCAGACGCTGCTTGTGATCTGTCCAGTATCATTCTCTTCTAGTCCTTTTACAAGAGAATTCCCATTTTGTTGGGGCACCGACAGTAATGTATGCTGTTTCTGCAAAACAACATTTCAGTGCCTCCCTTGCAGGTTGGACTAGTCATGTGACATGATCCTTGACAGCTTTTCTGGGCTTTCGAAAGCCCATTTACTCTATCCCTTTCTTTCCTCCAGCAGGGAATGCAGGGATGATTGCTGGAGCTATGGCAGTCATATTGCAAGCACACGAAAGAGCATCCCATCCCGAGGTCCTTGGTGAGAGCCAAGGCTTGCTGCACCCGGTCACTGACTCCTAACTCTTGGACTTTCTGTGATGTGTGAGAAGGAAACACCCACATTTGGGTTAAGCCACTGTTGCTTGGGCTTAGAGTTCCACATAGCTGCACTAGGTATTAGAGGCTTGAATTGCTGAGGCTCAAGTTGGGTCAAATGAGGTTGTGAGTAGGACCGGGCAGCGAGGGGCTCTTGCTCACAGAAGTCAAGCGATTTGCCAGAGCCAGGAAGTGGGGGCGTTGAGGTCTCAGGATATCTTCTTTTGTCACCCATGTGAGCTGCACCTCCTACTTCCTCTCAGGTCCCTGAGAAAGGGACAGTCAGGCTGTCATCTTGGGAGACTTTTCCAGGACTGGGGAAGGGTGGGAGCATGGGGGTGGGGGCTGGGAATCCTTCTCAGTAACATAAAAGGAACTCCATCAGGGACAAATCATCCTGATGAAAGGTGCGTCTACACCATGGTGGACACTTTCTCAGAACACCAATTTAGGCTTGTGAGCCTGCAGCCCCTTAGACAGGCCGGCAACCCTCATTTCTCCGGGGAAGGAGCAGCCAGAACATAGACCTTGCTCCCATGTTACCCTAAGCCCAGGCCCCTGGAGGTGGCTGGGGGAAGGCAAATAGTCCAGAAAGGCCATTTGCAGGACACAGGCAGCCTAAGCGTGCTTCAAAGCAGTCGTTCATTCATTTATTCACTCAACTGCTTGTTGAGTGAATAAATGAATGAACAGTTTGTTGTTTAAACTCAAATGTTTGTCGAGCCCTTAACAGAAACCACACTGCGGAGAGCATGAGATACAGAGATGGCCTGTGAGGGGTTATATGGCACTGCCCTGACTTCTGGCACTGCCTGGTATAGTCTGCTTTGCTTAATCCCTGCTGCTGGGCTTCCCACGTCTCAGGCAGGCTCCTCATGCATCTGGACCTTTTTTTCTGCCCAGACGGCTGATGCCTGCTTGGCCAGCTCACTTTGGCCAGGCCTTCATCCAATGTCACATCCTCAGATTGCAACCTTTAACCACACATCTGCAACAGCACCTCCCCCGCTCCACTCTCACTCTCCCCACCCAGCTTCATCCTCCTCCTTAGCAGGTTACCCCTTGCCCTGGCCTGGTTTACTAGGCATCTGTCTCCCTGACTAGGATGTTACTTTAGAGAGCAGGGGTCTGGCTTTGCTCCCTGCTGGGACCCATGCCCAGAGAATTATCTGGCATGGAATTGACACTTCCAATGTATTTGCTGAATGAAAGCACCAGGACATCCAGAGGCTCCCAGGACAGTAGAGAGCAGACCATGTCACCAGCCTGCAGGCAGAAAGTGAAGACAGAACCCTCAGGGGACTGGGATGGAGGAGAGGCAGGCCCTGACCCAGATGCCACTGCTGGCTGCAAAAGATGACTGCACAGGAGACAGAGCAGGACTCACTGGAGACCGAGGGTCCAGCAGAGAGAGAGGGGATGAGATGCCTGGAGGTGAAGTGGGAAGGTGACAGGACCAATGTGAGGTGGGCGAAGAGGTGGGCGGTAGGGGGAGGTTGAGAAGAGTCATCCCCAGTACCAGCCTCCCTTCATGTGGGAAAGTGCAATGTGGAAGTGAGCTTTAAAGCTGGGGCATGCCCCCTGGGGAGAGTCTTTTGTTTTTAATAGTTTCTTTTTAATGGCTTGTTTTAATAGCTTTGGTGTTTAGTTTGTTTTTAATAGCTGCCTTGGTTGTAGAAGCCTGGCTATGGGCAATTCCTAGAGCCAGTGCTGTCTTGGGCTTTCTACGTAAGAAGGGATAAGGCTTCAATATCTGAACAAAAGTAGCTTCTCCTTCCAGGAAGGAGGTAGAGAAGTTGTAGAGACAGCCAACACTCTCTGCCACAGTAGCATCAACCTTCTGCCTGGGGATAAGGAAGCATTGGCTGGAAAAGAGATGAGGCAGGACACTAGGAGGGTAGGAGAGGTGAGGAGTTAGGGCTGTCAGTGAGGAGGTCAGAGGTGAGACCAAAGTGGTGGTAGTAGAAGGTTCCAGGGGAGATGCCACCAGGACACTCCTCAATGGAAGGAGGTTTGAGCCTGAGGGCTTGGTGTGCAGGGCTGCATACTGGTCATCCCCAAAGGTCCTCCCTTGCAGGGCCGTGACTAACCCAGCTGCCTTTCCTAACCCCAATAGGTGATAGACAAGAAATCTGGTGGCAGTAAACCAGACTTGGTTCTAACTAGGTGAAATCATTAACCCCCAAATGCCCCCATGGATCTGCGGAGTCAGGTTCCCTGTCCAGCAAGATGGGGCTGGAGCCTGTTTACCTGAATCTGTGAAAAGAGAGAGACCTCAGTTTGATTTTCACTTTACAAAGGAGAGCAGAGGCCAGGCGCGGTGGCTCACATCTGTAATCCCAGCACCTCAGGAGGCGGAGGCCTGCGGATCCTGTGGTCAGGAGATCGAGACCATCCTGGCCAACATGATGAAACCCTGTCTCTACTAAAAATACAAAAATAAGCAGTGCGTGGTGGCGTGTGCCTGTAATCCCAGCTACTCGAGAGGCTGGGGCAGGAGAATCGCTTGAACCAGGGAAAGATTGCGGTGAGCTGTGATCATGCCACTGCACTCCAGCCTGGCCACAGAGTGAGATTCTGTCTCAATAAACAAAACAAAACAAAACAAAAACAAAAAAAAATAAACAAAAAACAAAAGAGAGCAGAGATGATGTAATTGCAGAGGTGGGGGTGGGGGCGGTTTGGAAGTGCATATGTAGGGAACAGGGCCCCAATGATTCCAAGAGTGGCCCTGCAGAACTCAGACCCACATGGAAACTTAATTTCTTCAAAGCCTGTCCTCTTTATGCCTGGGAAAGCTGGCACACTGGCTAGAGGAGTTCTAGTCAAGCCTGTCCTGGAGGGGAGGCTGTGACTGGGAGCTCAGAGGCTGGGGAGGGACGGCCTGAAGCAACTTTGGAAAAGAGGGAGCAATCCTGGGAGCCTGAGAGGTGAAAGGAAGAATTGGAGACCCCAGAACCTCAGCTCATGGGAGCACTGTGAGTTTATTTGGTATCTCCTGTGTCTAGGACAGTATCAGGCCCATAATCAAAAACCAGATCCATGTTTGTTGAATTCATGAAAGAAAGAAGCTCCTGATGGTAGTAATGTGGCCAGCAGCAGCCCTGGGGGTTTACCAGTTCACCACTGGTAGGGCACCTCAGAAATGAGCCCAGGTTCTCGAGTCTACCCTTATCTGTGGTTCTGTTGAAAGGGGAGAGCTGAGCTGCTGGGGCTGTGGGAGCCACACAGAGAGGATGAAAAGCCGAGAGAACGGGGCCCTGAGTGTGTGAATTCACATATATGAGGGGGGGAATCATGTCTTCCAAAACTTACATGTTGGAATCCTAACTACCCCACGTTCCTCAGAATGTGACTGTATTTGTAGAAAGAGTCTTTAACAAGGTAAATAAGGCAAAATGAGGTCGTATAGAAAGGGCCCTAATCCCACAGGACTGATGTCCTTACAGAGATGAGATTAGTAAATAGACACTCATAGAGGGGCAGCCACGTGAGGACGCAGGGAAAAGATGGCCATCTACAGGCCAGGAGCGAGGTCCCAGGGGAAACCAGCCCTGCCAACACCCTAAACTCGGACTTGCAGACTCCAGAACTGTGAGGAAATACATTTCTTTTATCTCAGTTTGTGGTCTGGGGTCCTGTGTTATGGCAGCCGAAGCAGACTACAGTGTGGGTGCCAACCTTGCATGGGTTGGCAAGGCCGATGTCTCCCTCCAAAGAAAGGGAAAGACATCATGGTCCCCAGGACAGAGAAGAGCTTCTCCAAAAATGCTGGAGAAGGAAGAACCTATTCATTTGGTTTAAAAATGTTGAATCTATTGTCAGTCAGTACTTATAAGAATACAATAAAATGAATGATTACGAAACGTATTAGGCACACTAAATATGAGCCAAGTGTTCTTGCCCTTAGATATCACCGCAAAGTCAAATTGCTCTACATTTCTAAATATGTACCCACCATGTCTGTCCTTATTTCACTTTGTGTAGGTGACAAACTGCCCAGAACTCACTGCTAGTTGCAATTCCTTTTAGAAGCACTGCTCTAAGGCCCTACCACTCATTCCAGGATTGGTCTGGCTTTAGAGATCAGACACCTGGGGAGCTGTGTCCAGTGGGAAGCTCTGAGGGGTCCTGCCAGCCACACCCCTGGTGATGGCGTCCTGTAGAGGACGCTCATGCATGGCCTGGCTACCTGCAGCTGAGAGCCTTCTCAGCAATAAGGAGAAGAAAAATGAGCATCTTTCCCTCCCAGGAGTAAAGAGGGATGCAGAGGGGGGAGGAAAGAGAAGAATCCAGATGGTAACTAGAAGACAAAACTCCTAATCCAACCACAGCAGCCACCTCAGCTCTGCAATCAAGACTTGGTGAATTTTCTGTTGAAGTCAATCTGAGCTCATGTGACTGTAAAAGAATGATGCTTACTGTGGTGTCTGGGTAAAGGCAATCATGGAGCTGGAACTATAACAAGACACAGAGCAACTTCTTTCAGGGAGATTTGCATTGTCCCTCTGCTAATTGCCGAGGAACAACATTAATAATAGCTCACCTCCTATTATCCTGCCCACAGGTCCATGGAGACGGTGACTCTGGGAAGCTGGTGAAGATTTCGAGTAGCAACTGTGAGGGCTGGACCTGACTAGGGAATGAGAGAAACCTTGAGGAAGAGCATCAGAGACTGGACCAGGGAACGAGAAAAACCTTGAGGAAATGAATCGAAATCTCAGTTAATGCTGAGACACTGAATCTGAAGTAACTTAAATCCACAGAAGTGAGCAAATTCTTCCAGAAGCTTCCAACTGGTGACAGTGGAGGAGAGGAAGGTAGGTCGTTGCATTGTTCTGCAAGAGAGTGGCTGAAGTGTGTTCCATGAGAATGGGGCTGGGCTGAGAGCCATTGTAGAGCCAGGAAGCAGGAGAAGGCATTGGGACACCATGGCTGAAAGGCTACCGGGCAGTCTTGTGGTGAGAGCAGGAGAGGAGAGAGCTGGAGGGATAGGGGACTGTGGCCTGAGACTGAGCTCTTTGAGTTTAGGTTTCTAGAGCTGATCACATCTGGGCAATGAAGTCTGGGGAGTGGATGGGGAGTGAGTTGGTGAGCTAGAGTGTGGAGGGTGCTGAATTGAGGGGATTTGAGGCCAGGTTGTGGGCCGAGTGCCATACAGACATACAGGCATCAGGGAACAGTGGCAGTTCTGAAGCAGATGGGGAGATTCTGCATGGCCAGGTGCCAAAATCCTCATGGCTAGGGAACAAGTCTATGAGGTCCGAGGATGACAGCAGCAAGGAGCTGCCAATTGGGGCAGAACCTGACAGTGGACGTGCCCTTCAAAGGAAGGAGGGGCTATGCTGAAGTGTGAGAATGGTGGCCTGACAGCAGCATTGGGGAAAACGAGCCCATCCTAGGTGGCAGAGTTCCCCCGAGAACAGCTGAGGAAGTGACAGTCCAGAGACCGCTGGTTCTTACTCAGTGTGTAAATGCCCGGTGCCCTGTTTACACATCCGGTCCCAGGAACCAGGTTCCTATAACGAGCTGTGGCTCCTCTTCTCACCTTTTTAGGACCTGCGTTGTCCTGTCCGTCTTGCATCCTTAGTCTCACCCCATCACTGGCCACTTACTTCTGTCCCCAGGCAGGCACAGGCTGCCTCCTCTGGCTACCGTCTTATTTCTTTCCTGCCATGCATTGGCAAACTTCCCAAACAAAAGGTATGTAATTTCTGCCTCTATTTCCCTACCACCCTCTCACCTATAGTCTCTCTTCTGTCCTCTCTTCTCAACTGAACAGCTCTCTTGGAGGCCACCAGGGCTCCCCGTACTGCCAAGAGCTGGTGCCATTTCCTTTTTATTCTCCTGGTGTCTCAGCAGCCATGGCTGGAGTACCATTCCTTCACCCTGCAAATACGCTTAGCCTGTTTTCACACTGCTGTACCCTCCCTTCTTGACTCTTCTCTCTCCATTCCCTTTCTGATGCTTCATTCTCTTTCTTCTATCTTCAATAAAATCCCTTCTTGGTGCTATGCTGTTCTCTCTACCCAAAGCACAGTGTAGTGATGAGACGCATAGAGGCCAATGCCAAACTGCCTAGACCCAAATTCTGGCTCCGCCACAGACCAGCCAAATGACCTTGGAAATTAGTTCTCATTTCCATGACTCAGTTTCCTCATATGGAAAGTGGTATGGTAACAATACCTACCTCCTAGGGTTTTTGAAACTCTAGACAGTGGCTGCTATGTGATAATTATGAAGGCTCTCTCCTTTGGGGCTCTTCCATCTACCACTCTGGTTCCATTTAAGGCACATTTTAAGTCTTTGTCAGATAGTCTCATGAAATTAGTTTCATTTGGAGTGAATTCATGTTCTCATTGCTGATTCTCTTGACTGTCTCTTTACATCGTATTTGTCATGTGATTTTAAATGTTGGTTTCAGGTTCACCTAGACTAGGGGGTTTGCTTTTGTTCTATTTTCTCTTCCCCCTCTGTCTGCCACCCTCCCTGGGTAGTAGTTTTGTGGTGGCCCTCATGCAGTTCCCTAGTTAGAACCGAGTCTCCTAGTGACATTCTGGGAGTTCTTCTTTTGGGAATATATTGGGGGATATTCTAGACCCAGTTCACCAGCCGTGTGGCTGAGTCTTTTTGATCCCTCTTACTTATTACACCAATGGCTTCTTGTAAATGAAGGAATTTTAATAAGTTAGAATAAAGGTTGTCAAAACCAGTCGTTATCAGCTGAAGTCCTGATTCTTCATGCAGAGCCCAGAATATGAGTAACACAACTATATTTCCAATAGTTTATGTGGGTGACACCAATGGCTTCCTATAAACCAGGGTTTCTCAATCTCATCACTGCTGACATTTGGGGCTGGATAATTCTTTGTCATGGAGGGGATTGTTCTGTGTATTGCAGGGTGTTTAGCAGTGTCCCTGGCCTCTATACACTGGATGTTAGTAGCATGACCCCCTCCAGCTGAAACAACCAAAAATGTCTTCAGCCATTGCCATGTGTTCCCTGGACAACCCCTGCTCGACCAGCAGAGCTCCAGTATCATAAAGCCACGCCCCCACGCTGGGGTCACCGTTCCTGTTTACAGTGTCTGTGTCTGAAAAGTATGGGGGAGCCCAGCCAGCCTGTGGTCTCAGCCCTACTCACTGCTTTGTGTTTTTCTTCTGATTTTGGGCAATACAGATGTTTGCCTTTTTGGGATTATAGGGGGAAACCCTAGTTATATCTTTTTGTTGTTTCTTTGTTTCATTTGGTCTCTCGTGGCTATGAAATTGGATCAGAGCATATAAATGCACGTGGATATACTGCTTCATCTGGATCCAAATACCCTCCTTTTCATCCTTCAAGAATGGTGTCCTCCTTTCAGTCATGATAGTCTTTCTATCTTTGGAACATTTATAGCACTATTGTCAACAATCATCACTTGGCATGTTCTTTCAGCCACTCAGAAGGGTTGTCAAACTCTAGGATTGGTATTTCATTTTAACTGGCTTATCTCTTGCGGCTACAGTCTGATGTTGGCTTCTCTGAGGTTTCTTTGCATATTCAGAAGTAACTAAGGGGGCAGGTGGAATATAGTAGGTGTTTGGGAAACACTGAGTCATGAATCTCTTATTGATTGGTACAAAGCCCTCTGAGGCTCAGTTTCAAAAGTTTTACTTACCATCTTGCAGCTTTGAATCATTGAAGAAGGTTCTCTGTAGTACAAAGGCTGTTTGACCATGCAACTCACAAAATCAGAGATATTACACATGGTCATTCTTAGAGATAAGGTAGCCCTGGGTCCTGATTGCCTGGGGACAGTTCCAGTTTACTCCTGTCATCAGATGGAATTGAGAGTGCCCTGTTTCACTCCCCAGAGTGCCTTGGTTTAGCTGATAAAATATGAGGTAACCCCACTTCAAGGCCACTAGGTATATTCTCCTTAGTTTATAAATGTGGACATTGAACAGATTGTATTTTCCCTTTACTTACAGTGTTTCCCCACATTCCCCTGGAGAAAAGAAGCTAGTGAAATGTTTTATTGCCACTATGTGCTTACTCATGTATTTGGATAAACTGGCATTTACTGACTAGCAATAACTGCTGTACACTTGGCAGGTAGGTGCGCAATACATGTGAACCAAACACACATTATCAGAAATGCCTTTGCGGTACTTGCATTCTGTGCTCTGCATGAAGCATCTGGACTTCCGCTGATGACTACTGTGTTTGACGATGTTTGTGCTAACTGATTAAAATAACCTGGGCAAGCCTAGATTTCACCTACAGTGTGATCTGCCCCCCAGAGCCCACAGCCACACACATCTGGTCACTGGGACTGACCTGCTGTGTCTGTCAGCCAGAAGCAACGGTTAAAGTACTTCATTTGTGGAATTGATCAGTTCGAGGCGGGGTATACATTATGAAATCTTTGCCTCTTAATGTTAACACACCCTGAGTCCCCATAACTTCCACCAGCTACTCTTCTACCTAGTTAATTTCCAGGGAGGAAACTGCCAGGCTGGAGGTCACAGTTTGTCCCTTGCCTCCAGGCAGCCCTGCACCTAAACATGTGTATTTTAAACAAACCAAAAACTAAAAAAACGAATTTCCAGCCTTCTAAGAGAGTTGGTTTGAAGAGTCCAGGCTCCAGTGGTTCCCCAAAGGTGCTGCCAACCTAAAACCAGAATGATCCATGTTGTCTGAATGAAGAAGGAGGGCCATCTGGGGGAAGCTCCTGTTCAGCTTTGACAGATAAAACAGCTAAGGATGGTTGACTTCTTGGCTGTCTCATTCAGGCCTCCGTGTGCTGCCTCCTGTCCTATGCAATGTCATCATGTGTCCTTCTCTGTTTTCTTCCGGGAGATAGAAAACTGCCCCCCACCTTTCCACTGGTGTCCCCCACTCAGGACCTGGAGTTCCTGCCCAGTACCATGGTGGGTGGAATGCTCCCCCAATCCTGCAGGCTGGTCATGACCCCCCAGATGGCTGGAACAGGGTGGAAGCCGCTGGTGCTCAGAGGGCTCCCCTGCAAGCTCCCAGGCTGTGTTTAACAGTCTTGACAAGTGTACCCTTGGGCAGAGGGCCAGGGACAATCTGTGTAACCCACTAAGTTAATTATCCTCTCTGCAGACGGCCTCCTGCACTAATCCTCTTGGGTTTGTCATAATCCAGCTCCCTCTGGGGAGAGCGGCCAGGGTGGCAGGTCTCTGTGCAAATGGACCATCTGTCGGAGCTCAAGAGGCTGGGCTCCTGCCCAAGGGACTGGGGCCTCAGGCTCTCAGGCCAAGGAGAGTGGCCCCGAGGACAGTACGGAGGAGGATGGCCAGCCCTGCGGCCCAGCGGGGCTGAGCCAGTGGCAGGGAAGGAGGCGGCATCCACATCGGCCTGACTTTCCTCCAACAGATGTCCCCCTGAGGCTTAGGAGCTCAGGGGAGCTGAGCCATGCCCTTGTGCTCCCTGGAGGACGGTGAGTCAGCAGCTGCATGTGTCTCACAGGGTCAGCCAGACACCTGAGGGGCAGAGAGTCTTGGCTCTGGGAAGTCATAGCAAGCAGGGAGGCATTTCGGCCTGAGAGCCTGGGAGGGGCGTCTCGAACAAGATGCTTGCCGTGAGGCAAGATTGGGTCTCTTCTGCAAGGCCTGCTGGGCTGTTTGGGAGCAGATCATGTTTAAACACGGCGCGGTGGAGTTTCAGGTTCCTGCTTGTTAATTTACAGGATGTTAGTGTCATAGCCTGTCTGGTTCTCCCACCTGGACCTGGAGGGTGAGCAATGCGGTCACTGGAGCCAGAGAGGGAGATATCCCTCCCCAGGACCCTCCTGGGGCTCTTGGAGAAGAA